CAGGAGGCCACTCATGGCTGGGTCACAACTATTCAATCTTCCTGGTAGAATAAAGCAGCCATAGACTGAATGGGCAGTCTATTTATTTTGTAAAGAAAACTTTATTTACAAAAAGAAGCAGTGGGCCGGAGTTGGCTCACAGGCTGGATTTGCTGACCCCTGATCTAGGTCAAAGACTCTGTCCCTGAAGGCTAGAGTGTCGGAATCACAGACTCTCAGAACGTCGGAATTATAGATTATTTTACCCAAGGGATCCTACAATATTAGTCATAGGCTATTCGAATCACAGGATTCTAGAATGTCCCCCCAGAACCTCAGGGTGTGAGATGTGTAGGGCTCCAGTGGTTCGATGTCAGAATTTTGTAGATGCCCTAAACATTAGTTTAGGAATTCTAGCTCTGAGTTGTCCGGTATGGTGGCCACGGGCCACATGAGGCTACTGAGCATTCGCAATGTGGCAGATCTCAGCGAGGGCTGCTGTGAATGTAAAGTACACAGCAGATTTCCAAGACTTGGTACAAAAAACAAACAAAAGAATGTGACATCTCTCATGAAGTTATTTTAGGTTGATCCCATATTAAAATGATAATATTTTATATATATATTAATCCTCACACGAGGATATTTTTCCATTGCTTTTCAGAGTGAGTGGAAGGGAGAGAGAGGGAGAGAGAAACATGGATGTGAGAGAGACACATCGACTGGTTGCCTTCCTCACGCACCCCGACCGGGGCCAGGGATTTAGCCTGCAGCCGAGGCACAAGCCCGTGGCCGGAATCGAACCCGGGACCCATCAGTCGAGGGCCAGTGCTCTAACCACTGAGCCAAACTGGCTAGGGCTTGACGTATGAGTCAACAAAATATATCACCCAAATTAATTTTACTTCGTTTTTTCTGTTTCTCTTCGCTTGTCTCTTGCCTGGCAGCTGGAAAATGTGAACTTGTGTGTGTGGCCCTCATTACGTTCCTATCAGATGGCGCTAATCTGGAGTGACACCCTCCTGGTGGCTCTAGGTGTGGTCCCTAAAAAGGTCAGAAGGTCGCGTGGCACAGATGCAGGAGAGAAGGCCCTTCCCAGGCCTTGGGACAGGTGGGCGGGTGGCAGGGGACTTGGCGAGTGAGAGGATACAGCTGATTCAGTCAAACACGTCATCCGCTTCCCTTCCCCACCACTTCCTCTTCCGATTGCTGAACCAGCAGATTCCTAACCCCAAATTTGGTAATTTTCTGGCCCTTCAGTCCACTTCCCTCCTGGGTAGGGCTGGTTAGCACCAGGCAGGGACCGAAGAGAAGCCACCCAAGTCCCAGTCACTGGCCTCCAAGTGTTTCTAGAAGGCTGTTGTAGGGCCCAGCTCTTGGGATAGCATCTCGTTCCCGAAAGATTTCATTGCCCAAACCAGGAAACGTAGAGGATGGCCAGGAACAGAGATGGGCATGAGGGTGGGGAGGCAGAGGAAGAAGTCAGGGAGGACTTCCTGGAGGAGGCTGTCCCCTGAAGGAAGGTAGAATAGAGACAGGGCTGGCCTTTTATACACAGTCCCGGCAGCTGGAAGACCAGGCAGGAGGAGAGGCAGGGGCTCAAGTGGGAGAAGATGGAGACCCTGGACCAGACAGGGCGTGGGGTGGGAAGAGGGTGGCGTCTAGGCGGGAATGCAAGGGGAGGGGAGGCTTTGGGGAGGACGCCAAGTCGGTTTGGGCGAGGCGAATGCGTGGGGAGGCCACGCCCTGAAGAGAGCTGTGGCGGTCTCAGTGAAATGGCACATGGGCTGCATGTCGAGGGCCAGCTCCAGAAGCTGGAGGGAGACGCTGCAGAGGAAGCAGGGAGGGGCCGCGCAGAGAGCCAGCCAGACAGACAGACAGAGAACTAGCCAGGCCTGGGGCCAGCCTGGGCGGAGGGCAGGCCGGCGAGGCAGAAGGGACACCCAGGATCTTCCTGGGGTGCCCAGGGGGCCCGCCCGGGGAGCTGGGCTCAGGTCTTCCCTGGGCAACCAGCACTTACTGTCAGAAACCACGCCGGCCTCCGGGAGCCCAGCGGAGCCCTGGTCTCGGTGCCCCGACAGCACCTTCACATAATGGTCGCACCTAAGGCGGACACGGCTAAGGGATCGGCAAGGTCCCCAGCCGGTGCCTCGGGGCGAAGGCTTCCCCTGATTCCGCGCTCCTGCCAAGAGGGGGGCGCGTCACCCCGGCCAACCAGTGGCCACCGGCCCTGAGGGTCCTGAGCGTGTGAGACAGGCCAGTAAGAACTGAGATCTGCTGTGTGTAGCATGCACACGCACAGGATTTTGAAGACTTGATACAAAAAGAAAGTAAAAGATCTCGTTAGTAATTTTTCACACTCATCACATGTTGAAATAAAAATATTTTGGATATATTGAGTTAAGCAAAATATATTATCGACTATATTATTATTGCTTTATGTATTAAATATTATTATATATAGCAATATAATATAAATATATCATATTAATAGCATTAATATTACTCTACTATATTAATACACATACATTATATATAGGGTGTCCCCCCAAAATGTATACACACTTTGAATAATTATAAAGGCAGTGTTCATTAAAATACATTTCATTTTGAAAACTGAGCTATCAGCTGTTAAAGGGTGTATACATTTTTGGGGACACCCTGTCTATGAATATAGTATTAATGTTATATGTTTTCTATATCATATATATTTTACATTATATAATTATAAATATATTTAATTAAATTAATAATTTAATTGATATATTCAATGTTTAATAAGTATAATTATGTGATATATTTCTGTTCACTTAATATTAATCATATACTATATAATAGTCATATAATACAATTAATATAACATTTGTCATTGTTACTATAACATATAATTATATTACAGTGTTAAGTATATTACTATTATTTCATCTGTATCTTTTTAATTTTTTAATGTGGCTACTAGAAAATTTAAAACCACCTACGTGGCTCACATCGTACGTATTTCTGTTAACCAGTGCTGGCCTGTACAACATTTCCAGCCAACACACACGCACACACACCACTGAGCAGGAATAGTTTAAAGTCAATTATACGTAACAGCAAGTCAATATTTATTTTATTCTCATCACTCAGGTGATGCATCCCAGCTTTTACGGTCCAAAGGTTACATACTGTATGACCCATTGACATAACACACTCTTTTTTTTTTTTTTTTAAATATATCTTTATTGATTTCAGAGAGAGGAAAGGAGAGGGAGAGAGAGAGAGGGAGAAACATCAATGATGAGAGTCATGGATCGAGCCCACAACCCGGGCCTGTGCCCCGACCGGGAATCGAACCCGGATCTCCTGGATCCCAGGTCGCCGCTCAGCCGCTGCGCCCCGCCCGGCCCTGAAAGGGCAGAACTGTGGAGCTGGAGGCGGAGGCGGAGGCGGATTGGTGGTTGCCAGGGGTTTGGGACCAGGCTGAGGAGGGTGGAAGGAAGTGGGAGTGTCCAGAAAAGGGGCCTCGAAGGGTCCTGGTGACGAAAGTGCCCTCTACCTGGACCGTATCAGTGTCAACATCTTGGCTGTGATTTCGCAAGGTCATTTTGCAAAGCGTTTCTACCCAGCGAAGTAGGTCAAGGGACACAAGACCCTTCTGCCTTACTACGTACAACTGGTCGGGAGTCTACAATGACGGCAACAGTCACTTACAAAACAAGAGGACAAGTTCCGCTGTGACCCCCCTCACCTGCAGGCCCCCTGAGCCTTCCACTCGCCTTCCTCGGGCTTTCTCTGCATAACCACATACCATCTTTTTACTTAGAACTTTTTTAAAAACCCATTTAAGCAACATTTTAACTTCTTGTTTTTCTTGAAACCAGTTCACTTACAGAAACTTAGTAGGTACATGTACTTTTTTTTTTTGTCCTAAACAAGAATAACTTTACAGATTCCAGTTACATTTTTTTCCCACTCCTCATAAAATAAATAACCATTTTGAAGGGTTAGAATATTTCCATGCCTCTGTATTCTATGTCTTTACTGTATTTTCTTTCCTTTCTTTTTTAAAATAAATATAGTTTTTTAATTGATTCCGTAGAGAGGAAGGAAGAGAGAGAAACATCGATGTGAGCAAGAAACACCAGCCCAGACCTGGGATCGAACCCATAACCTGGGCATGTGCCTGACCAGGAATTGAACCCGCCACCTCTTGGTGCAGGGGACAAACGCTCCAACCAGCTGAGCCACCGGCCAGGGCTTTACTGTACCTTCCTTGCGCTGGGCCTACCCGTGCCAACCCGTTGCTGTCG